CAGAGCAGAGTTTAGGGATGTTGTGCATAGGGTTGCTATGAGTTGCAAGTGACTCGATGGCTCATAACAACAACAACAACATATCATTTTACTTTAAATGTATGAAAACAATTATCTGACTCTACTGAAATTGCTTTCTTACATTGAGACTTATGGGTCATATCTAGCTCTAGCCTATGTCGTATCATCTGAGAACTAAGATTGGAAGAATGGGTTTACATTTTTAAAGAGTTGTTAAATAACTCCCCAATGCAGTGTGTGATAGGCGGAGCCTAAAAATTGCTATCTGGCTCTTCACAGGAAAAAAACTCAACAACAACAACAGGCCAAACTGAGTTAGATAATTAAGAATCACTTACTAAGGGAGCTCTGGTGGCCCAGGGGCAAGAAGCTGCACTGCAATCCCACAAGTATGCAGTTCAAATCCACCAGATGCTCTGCTGGAGAAGGAGGGGCAAACTTCTCCTGTACCAGTCAGCTCTGATTTGACAGTACACAAACAAAAAATAATAAAATTTTTAAAAAATTAAAAAGAATCACTTACTGAGTTGCTTAAAGTTCAGGAAGGGTAGAGACCGTGTCATAGCTTTCTTGAATAACTGAGTTTTCCCAGTGGTAGCCTAGTAGTGAGAAGCTGTGCTGTGATACCAAAAGCATGCGGTTCAAATCCCCCAGATGCTCCATGGAAGATGGAGGAGCAGTCTCCTCCCGTGTGGTTTACTGCCTCTAAAAACCTTCTGAAAGCTCAGCTATTGATCAATTCCAACTCAAAGGCAAACAACAAGTACATAACATTCATTAAAAAAAATTGTTGAATAAATATATGCCAGGAAAAATGTATGACTTTTGCTGTGTGTTTATGCATCAGATAAACCCCAAACTGGTTTATTTATCTTAATTATAACCAATAATATAATATTGCTGTGAGTTCATAGCATCAGCTAGCAATTTTCAGGTATTCATGTTGTTACAGCTGATGAACCTCTGTGCTCTTCTGCTTCTTGCTCTTAGGATATTTGGAAAAATGTTCCACTGTCCTTAAATTCATGAACATAGTTTCTATTTATTTAGGCACTTCTGAAAATATTGTTGTTGTTATGTGCCATTGAATCATCTGCAACTCAAAGTGACCCTGTGTACAACAGCTCTGAACCCTGCTCTATCCTGAGCCAACTTTATTGTCTCTGACACACCCACCCTCATTACCACAGTCACTGAGTTTATTTTCTCTCAGATTAGAAATGCTGAACTAGTTGATCAACTATTTTGTTTCAGTATTTGAAGATTTATGAGGTGTTGAATATTTGAGCACATTTCTAATTCTTTGCCCCTCTCTTTCTATCAAATAAACTTGCTATTTTATTATTTTTTTTCCTGTGCAGGAGGCATTCCACGTAGCTAAAATGGCATTTAGACACTTCAAAATCCGTTTGAGGAAAACTTTGACACCAAATTACGCAGGGTCGAAAAACTTTGAGGATGTCGTCTCGGATTATATCATATGTCATCTTGATATGTATGATGCCCAAAGCAGTGTTAATGTAAGTGTGAGAATCCTTATATGGGAGCTGGTTTACTGATGCTATTGTTTTCATTGAATGTTAACAACACAAAGTCCATCCTTGGTTGACTACTGCTGCAATGAAATGGAAGAGTAGTTGGATACGGTTCATTCTTACCTAGTGGTAAGAAGCTGCACTGCAATCCCAAAGGTACAGAGTTTGAAGCTACTAATCACTTGTTATGCATCAGACAGTTGGACAATGTCTAGGGAGGATAGAAGGAGAATCGACGCCTTTGAGCTGTGGTGCTGGAGAAGAGTACTGAATATACCATGGACTGCCAAGAAAACAAACAGATTCATCCTAGAGAGGAATAAACCAGGCTGCTCCTTGGAGGCAAGGATTCTGGGGCTTCGTCTGACATACTTTGGACATGTTGTAAGGAGAGACAGGTCTTTGGAGAGGGACATCATGCTTGGTAGGGTGGAGGGACAGCGCAGGAGGGGAAGACCCTCAATGAGGTGGATTGATTCAGTGACTGGGGTAATCAGGATGGGTGTGTCAGAGGCAATGAGATTGGCACAGGATAGAGCATGGTTTAAGGCTGTTGTACATAGGGTCGCTATGAGTCGCAAACGACTCAACGGCACATAACAACAACAACAACAACAACAACTACTACTACTACTGCTCTGTGGGAGAAGGATGAGCAGTCTACTTCTGTGTGACTTCCTGCCTCTGAAAACCTGCTGGAGGGTCAGCTATGGGTTGGTTCTGACTTGATGGAAAATACCATTTTTTAAATAGGAACAGCAATGGTCATTAACCCATGGAATTACTTGGAGGATTAAATAAAAGAAGGCAAGTCATTTGCTCAAGGTACGACTTGGCACATCGTAAACACGCACAAAAAATAAGCTATTATAATATGCACTATGAGTCACCTATAACTTGACAGCACTTAACAACAACAACAATATTCACTGTAGATTATTAAGAAGTCTGTTCTATGAACATATAGAAAAATAAGGGAAACAATTTTAAAAAGTCACTGAAATCCCCTCTATTTTTTATTTTTGGGAAGTTTTCTTGAGCTTGAGTATGTCAGTTTTGCTCTTATTATCTTCTCTATTAGTGAATGAATCATGTTAGTATTCATTATTATTTGTTATTGTTGTTGATTGCCATTGAGTCAAGCACGACTCATAGTGACCCTATGAAAAAAAGGCCTGACACCTTTCTATAACTATCATTGTTTCAAGGTTCATAGAGTTTCCAAAGACATGTTGTTTAGGAAGTGGATGCCACTCCTGCTTCCAAACCTGTCTTAATCTGGGAGTTCCACCAAACACTGTCCACTATGGGTAACTGTTGTGCCATTTGACACCCCAATGGCACAAGGTTCATCATGCTTCTGAGCATGATGATTCGTTATTATTGTTTAATGTAAAGAATACTCATGTTCACGGCAACATTATTGATAATAGCAAAGAAATAATAACAACCCAAGTGTCCCTCAATGGATAATGGATAAAGAAACTCTGGTACATGCATGTAAGCTAAAGAATTATAAGGAATCTGTGAAACACCAAGTACCTTGGACAAATTAAAGGACATTATTCTGAATGAAAGGAGACAGTTATAAGGAGAGAACTCTTGTATGAACTATGTTGTTGCTGTTATGTGCTGTCGAGTCACCTGTGACTCATAGCGACCCTATGTACAATCGCTCTGAAATCTGCCCTGTCCTTAGCCAGTCTCATTGTCTCTAACAAATCTACCCTTATTACCCAAATTACTGTGTCAACACATCTTATCCGGAGTCTTCCTCTCCCACACTTTCCCTCTACCCTCACAAGCATGATGTCCTTCTCCAGTGACTAGTCCCTCCAGGCCGTGTGCCCAAAGTATGTAAGATTGAGCTCCACAACCCTAGCCTCCAAAGAGAAACTTGGTTTAACCTTTTCCAAGACAGACCTGTTTGTTTTCTTGATGGTCCATGGTATGTTCGAGACTCTTCTCCAGCACCACAACTCAAAGGCATCAATTCCTCTTCTATCGTTCTTACTCATTGTCTAGCTCTCTGATGCATAGCAAGTAATTGCGAAGACCATGACCTGGATCAGGTGCACCTTAGTCTCTAGATTGACATTGTTGCTTCTCAGTACTCTGGAGAGGTCCCTTGCCACAGATTTTCCCACTGCAATTCATCTTTTGATTTCCTGACTGCTTGTGCCAAGAGTGTTGTCTCCAAGCTGAAATTGTTAAACACTTCAATCTCCTCTCCATCTATCATGGTACTGCCAATTGGCCCAGTGATGAGAATCTTTGTAATCTCAAAGTTAAAGAAAGTTTTACAAATAGAATAATTCTTGCATGGCTACCAGGGACGGGAAAGGAGAGAGAAGAAAGTAAAAAAGAAATTGTTTTGTTATTATGGACTGTCAGGTCAGAATTGACTCATAGCTGATCCTCCAGCAGGTTTTCAGAGGAGGGAGATTATCCAGCTTTTCTGCAAAGAGTTGGTGGATTCAAACCCCATTGGGTTGGGAGTGCAAGTCCTTACCATTAAGCCGCCAGAGCTCCCTGAGTAGAAATCAGTAAATCAAAAATAGACACATATTAGGATGAGTGAAGGGAAAGGCAATATACAATAAGGGAATGATCCACCCGCCCCATAACTTTAAAGAAAGACACAGAAGTACAAGGAATATGGCCAACAGCAGATGTATAGATACACAGGCAAGATGAATAGATATGGGAAGTAGAAAAAGACTGAAAAAGTAGGAAAAGTGATGGGCATAAATAGGTTTGGCAGATGATATTTATATGTTCATGTGAGCCTAAACTGTAAATAGATCCATGTATATATTAGAGCCAATGGGCCAATGCTATGTCGGCTTTTTAATCATAACCAAACACCTTAAGGGAATGAGTTGCTATTTCTGGGGTCTTGGGACCACAGTCCTGAGGGCCATCAAGGCCAATTGGTACAACATAGTCCATAAAGAATGTTCTACCTCTTGCTTGGGTGCTTAGCAATTGGGGTCTTAAAAGCTTTAGAGCAGCCATCTACGATGCCACTTATTGGTCTCTTCTTATCCGGAACAAAGGAGAGGAAAGTAAAATGTACTCAAACAATAGGTAAAGGACTAATGGATGATGTGAACCTCAACTTCCATGACCGTGAGACCATAAAAGCTAGGAGATCCTGCATAGAGTGGGAGCAAATGTGGAACAAAACTAAAACACATAAAAAGGCCAAGTTTACTTGGTCTGATAGAGACTGGTAGAATCTCTGAAACTATGGCCCTTAGTCATGCGTTGAATTTGCAGCCAACCTTACCCCATAGCTCAACTTTCAGCCAACCAATCAGAAAAGCCAATAAGGTCACCTGTTAACACCTAGAAGCACTCATTCCTTAGAATAACCAATTAGATGAAGTTAAAAGAACAGCATGTGCCTAAGAATAAAACCCAGAGGCAGGAATGGGTAAAATAGAAGAATTAAGGGAAATTAAAATTATAGGGAAGAAGTGGAAAAAGTATGATTTCATTGTATTTTATTTAATGTAAATTAATAGATGACCAAATATTATTTGAATTTAGAATTTGAAACAGGAAATGCATTATGGATTGAATGAGGGTGACAGAGAGATGCATATGAGTGAGCAAATGAAAAATGAGTTTTTGGTTAACTTTTATTTGGATCACAATAAAAAAAGAATTGGAAAATTATATGAGTGTTGACTGAGGAACCAATTTGCTTTGCATATTTTCACTAAAAAAATTGAAAAAATAAAGAAAATGATCATTATTCTTTCAGCCCATATGTTGTTGTTGTTTTGTGTACTGTAGAGTTCGAACCAACCCATAGGTGACCTTCTGGTGAGTTTTCAGAGGCAATTTTGATCCCACAGGAGTAAAACTCGCCCATCCTTCTGCAGAGCAGCTAGTGGTCTTGAACCATTTACCTTTGGGATTGCTGTGCAACTTCTTGCCACTAGGCCACCCCAAGCCCATGTACAACTTTTAAAAAATTTTAGAAATTATTTTATTTTGTGATGGTTTGCATACAGACTTTGTATACACTGTATTTTGTTTGTATACATCATGTTTCATGTTGTCATTCCCATTGTTGTTTTTTATAAAATTAATCACCACTGATCCATAACCACTATAAACCCACCTTTTCAGATCCCCACTGGGTCTTTCCTGATTTCCTCACCCCTTTCCTTTGCCCACTAAACTCTCATCTTCCATTAGTCACAACATCTTTAAGATGTATTTGAATTTTGTAAATAAGCTAGCATTTGTGCGGGGAGAAGGGTGCAACAATGAATGAATGGAATCCCAAAATCTCTGTAGATGTTCATTGAAATGAAAAATAAACAACCTAAATGTAAAAAAAAAAAAAGCTAAAAAAAACCAAAAAAAACCCCCCAGTGTTAAATGTACTATCATCCACTTCCATCAGTCACTACATTTTTAAGACGTATTTTAATTTTGTAAATAAATTAGAAAAACCAGTGTTACAGGTACTACCATATTATCCAGCCTTTCCATTATATTCCTAGGTATTTTACCCAAGAGAAATAAAAGCCTGTGTTGGTTAAAAAAAAAAAGTTAGAGTTTAAGTTTAGGGACATCATCTTTTTGGTTTTTTTTTAGGATGTAATCCGAGCCATGAATGTCAACCCCAAGATTTCGTCCCCCCCAGAAGTTGACTTCTGCCTCCTTCGTGACTTCATCCAGGAGATATGTTGCATTGCGTTTGTGATGCAGACTTTAGACCCACCCCTCGACATTGCTTTTGGGGCTGATGGAGAAATTTTCAACGATTACAAGTAAGAGACGCAGGAATAGAATTTAAGGGATAGTCCTTATTTCTTTTTTGGGCAATGATTTGACGGACAGTGCACTAATGGCTGAATAATTTTGGGTGGGGAAAATCCAACACTTTCTGGTCTTCAGGCTCCATCATTAACCTCTCCAGACTCTGTCCCAGGAGCATTTTCATTTTTTTTTGAAAATGTAAATCAGAAGTTGCACTGTGATTTGGAAATGTCTTTGGGGACCTCATGAGAACCGAGAGTCTGTCTAAATCGTCTTGACAGAAAGGTGCTACATAAACACAATGTGTATCACTTTATATTGGTTGTTATTGTATTATCCAGACCACTGTTTCAAATAAGGTGTGTGGATCACCTGTGTCAACATTACTCAGGGTGCTTGTAAACACTGGAGTTTTGTGAGTCTCACCCAATGTCATTGTGTGTGGTAGGTCTAGTGTGGGACTCAGAAATCTACAGTTTAACTCCCAGATGTTCCTTGTGCAAAATACTGCTCTATTCTGCCTAGGACCATTGGTCTCCAGTCCTATTAACTTAGTCATACTACCTCCAAACTATAGAATAACTGTTGTCTAATTGATCTCATGTAGATATTCCACCCCCCCCCCAGAAGAATACAGTACTTAAATGTAACTTTCTTTTCTTTGCTTTTTGTGCTAACCTGATATTTAGTTGAAAGATGCTTTCAGGTAATAGTTTCAGTTCAAGGCTTGAAGAGTGTCTAAATACACTAATCTGGGGTATTCCTCCTGTCTTCCTTGGTCCAGTAAGTCTGGATTGTTTTATAGAACTTTAGGTTCTGTTCCATGTATTTCCCACATTGGTCAGGATGCACTGATGCTGCCCTGTTTAGAGTGCGCAGTAACCTGCTGGTAGTTAGTTCTTGTCTAAGGTAGACAAAGTCATGGTTTGTGGAGATGCTTTGATATTTGAATTTTCTTTCTCCTTTGCGCCACATGAATGTTGCTGTTGGTTTTAGGTGCCATCAAGTCGACTATATCTCACAGTGACTGTATGAATAGCGGCTTTGAACCCTGCCCTTTCCTGCACCTTCCTCAACACCCGTAACATACTTGAGCCCATTGCTACGGTAACTGTGTCAATACATCTTGTTGAGGGTCTTCCTTTCTTTGGCTGACCCTTCACCTTTCCAAGCATGGCTCCTTTACCAAGGACTGGCCTCTCCTAACAACATGCCCTAAACATGTGAAATGGACCTTCATCATAACTGCCTCTAAGGAGGACTCTGGACGCCCTTTCTCTAAAACTTACATGTTTTTCTCTTGGCAGTGGTGGGATATTCAGTACTTTTCTCCAACACCACAGCTCAAAATACATCGGTTCTTTTGTCATCATTATTCACTGTCCAATTTTCAGATGGATAGGAAGTAATTGAAAAGACCATGGTTTGTGTGTTAGATGGCTGTTCTGTTTCCACTGACATATCTTCTCTTCTCCTCCTTGCCTTTACATCTGTGCTATGGGGTTGACTGTTGGTCTTTAATTTATTTGAGGAAGTGAATCGTCACAAGTGGTATTGTTTATTTTATTTTATGTGACCTTCAGGATTAGCCTCAAGTCTGTGTTCAAAGGCTTTTGGGATGATTGATAGTCTCTACTGGCCTAGTAGGCTACATATTTTTGGCTTTTCTTTATTTAAGAAATCTGAGTTTTGTTCTACGTTTTGTCCCTTTCTGCCTATAACTTTCTATTGTCTCCCTGATCAAAAGAAAGGTGGTAGAAGCTGGACACCATATAGTTCTTCTGGTCTTAGGTTGTAAGAGGCTGTGTTTCACGTGGCTTTTAGTTCCTTAGGGAGCTCTGGTGACCTAGTAGTTGTGCTGTTAACCCAAAGCCTGGTGGTTCTAATCCACCAGTTGCACCTCGGGAGAAAAATGAACAATCTCCTTCTGTGTGAAAGCCCACTAAAGGGTCTGCTATGAGTTGGTTCTGTCTAGATGGTACAAAACAACCACCACCACCCTAGTTCCATGGATTAATTGGCTCCATTCTTGAGCCTCTTTCATTTCCTCCATCCTCTTTTGCTCCATTTGAGAAGCCATCAATAATCATATCAAAGATACTTACTCACAAGCTTTTCTGATCTTAGATGCTACTCATCAAACTAGGACATAGGGCATTATCTTCATGAACTGTGCTATGCCAATTAAGTTGTCCCCAAGAATATGATCCTAAGCCTTTTAGCCTAATAAACTATTCTTATGAGTCATTAGGCTATATCTAAAGAGTCTCTGTATGTGTACCCCAATATGATGTCGATATATATGTATGTAGCCTGCATGCATACACACACATACACACACAGGTGTAGATATTATATGCCTTCACATATACCTATACATGGGCTGCACTTGCTCACATACGCTCACTTGTATCTATATCCTCATAATCACATACATATGTAGTTATGTGGTGATATATTTCTGAAAGAATCAATTTTTAAACACACACACATGCATACACACACACACACACACACACGGATAAACCTCTAATATTTCTTTGAATTTTAACTATGGTAATTCTGTCAATGATTTTAGCTTGCTTAGATTTACAATCAGCACTGTTAGTACCAGCAGTCTGGAGGAGACATATTGCTATGGCAAGTTTTTTTATCAAGGACGTCTCCAAAATATTGAAGAGCAATGATGTCAGTTTAAAGACTAAAGTGTGCCTGATTAAGGTTATGGTCTTTTCAATTACTTGCTCTGTGTCTAAGAGCTGGACAATGAGTAAGGATGACAGAAAAAAGAATTGGTGCCTTTGAGTTGTGGTGTTGAAGAAGTGTGCTGAATATCCTATGGATTTGCAAAAGAACAAACCGATGTGTCTTGGAGAAGGTGCAATCAAAGCACATTATTGCGGCAAAGGTGGTGAAGCTTCATTTCACGTACTTGGGACACATTTCTAGAAGAAGCTGTTTCTTGGAGAGAGATTTCATGGTTGGAAAGGTGGATGATCAACGGCAGAGTAGAAGACCCCCAATGAGGTGGAATGACATGGTGACTGTAGCAGTGGGTTCTAGTGTGTCAGAGATGATAAGGATGGCACAGGATAGGACAAAATTCAGGTTTGTGGTTCATAGGGTTGTTATGAGTCATAATTGATTTGATGACATCTAACAACAATGACGATTCTAAGGAAAAAAAGGAACAAAATGCATCTAACACAATGACTTGTTTGTAATGAATTCATGTAGGGTCCTAGTTAATGCTGGCATCTGTTCTAAGACCCACAACAACCACTTCTTTAATGACAAAATCAGGATACCTATTTGTCTAGATAAAGAAATGTGCTTGCTTACTTTGTTTCCCTCCCCCAGATATGCTGCCTGATGACTTAGCTTCTCTTTCTGGTTCTCTTGTGTGTTTGAAATAGGTACCGCCGCAGCTATGACTCAGATTTCACTGCTCCCCTGGTCTACTACCACGTGTGGCCTGCTCTGATGGAGAACGACTGCGTCATTATGAAGGGAGAAGCTGTCACCAGGAGAGGGGCTTTTGTACGGTGGCCTTGCGTAGTGACCATTCATACCAAGTGTTGCTTTCACAAGTTCGAGAACATTTATAAACCCAGAGATTCTGTAGAAGAAGTCTGTAAAGAGTTGTTAAGCTTCCATACCAAGGAGATGATGTGTGTGGTACAAGGGCCTGTATGGGAAAGAACATACGTTCTTCTTCCCATTTGATTCTTCATCATTTTGTGACAGTAATTTCTTTGGAGATGGAACTTGTCATATTGGCCTCCTCCATCTTTGAAAATGTAGAATATTCTAAGGGCAAGGCCCTTTTATTCATTTTATTCGAGACCCTCTGTAACTCGACAAATTTCAAAACGATAGATTGCGTTCCTGGAGACATTTTTTTCCAGATTATTTTACTGGGAAGTCTCCAGAGGCTGACCTATAAATGTGCCCTGTGTTTATCTCCTTTGTATGTGTAAAGAGAAAAAGAGAGGACAGAAGAGGTGGGGAGACAGAGGAGTCAACCAGTTCAGAAGGTTGCTTCCTGTCTATATTAGTGATAGACTATTTTGAACATATGCTTAGTTTTAGGGACTGGGGATTCTTCAAAGTGGAATCTTAGTACATAGAGGCACGTGTGTATGTTAAGATGGTGAATTGAGTGTTGGAACTGGTGGCTACAGGTACTTAGATATTCAGTATAGTTCACATTATGTAGTGTCCACCTCCTAGGAGGACTTTAGCAGATTCTGAAGAGAAACTCTTTGGAGCTAAGCCACAAATTTTGTCATCTCTCCCCTCGAATCTTAAACTGGAGGATAGTGTAGGTGCTTTGAACTACAATTTTGTACATTATGGAGTAAAGAAGGGATGCTCTTTATTTCCAAAGATTGCAAAAGATTTTGCAGATTAAAACTCCCATTAGAGTGAGCATCATTGCAGAAAAGTATTTTATGCCCCAAAGATTGCACTCCTGGAAATTACGTTTTATTGATATGGTAACCACTCATGTTCTACAGTAAATGATCAAATAAAACCTTCACTAGCTAGTCTCTGGAAGAACAATGGGCAATCTGCTCTTGCGTGATTTATACCCTCTGCAGCTGGCGAGTCAGCCATGAGTCAATTCTGACTCAACAGCACTGAGCTTTTTTTAGTTTCTAATTATTTATGACACTGCATGAAGGTGCTAGAAATTCAGTATTAAATAAAACAGTCTAAAATGATGGTGCTCATTGAGCTTATGTTTTCCAACTCTTGTCCAATTTAAAAAGTAATTTCTAACAACAAATTACTTACCAAAATTAAACCTGCTCTGAGAGTTTTTATGCCCCCAAATTCACTGTAATGGGATTTTGAGAATTACTTGGAAGTTATTATAAGAAACTGGACAAATATGTCTCGTTTTGATGTAATGAGTAGGTATAATCATATCAGTGAACCCTCTTCTTATATAGGAATTCTGTATTGTTCTTAGCCATGTCAACTTTCACAGATTATTTACCATTTTTCCCTCTCTTTTTTTTTTTAAGTGGAATTCGGTGCGACCTGTAACCCGATGTCGAAGCCGGAGTTTAAGTCCTGTTTGCCACCGTAGCCATATTAGTTTAAGCACGGTACTTATCTATCTAATCAATGATTACATGAAACCATCATATAGTCAATATTTTTACACTATTACCAGTAAAAGAGTTGGTTGTAAGAATAGCAGTAGAGAGAGAACCTCTCATAAGAATTATCCCCAAATTGACCTCTACACTATTGTATTGTCCTAGGTAGAAGAAAACAGATTCTTTTTTCTTCTCCTTAGATTTCTCTTAACTTCATGTTTGTTTGTTTTTTTATCTTGGAATAAAACTACCATAAATAACAGTTTTCTGAAGAGAGAAAAGAATATTTCAGCTAACAGACCTAAGCCTAGAACCCTGATTTCTCTAGAAGTTGCTCTGTAAGTTTAGGAAAATCTGATGGTCTGGATTTCAATACTTTATGAAAAAGAATTTCAGGTGCAAATTTACCCCCTAACTTCAAAGGATGAAGAATAAGGTTCATTTCTTTGTACCTCTGAGTTGGATGTGATCCATGGTTGAGCCTCCAGCAGGTTTTCAGAGGCAGTCAGTCGCACAGGAGGAGGTTGCCCATCTTTCCTGGTAGACTCAAACTGTGTGCATTTGCATTGACAAAGGTACCAGTAGGCCACCAGAGCTTCCTTGATAAAGTAGAGCCTGCAGAAAAGGTGACAACTCTAGAGGAGATGGATTGACCAGTGGCTTCAACAATGGCCTCAGATAGTTTTTCCAGCACTGTTTGTCAAATAGACTGTCTTTTCCTTAGTAAATGTATTTTATCTCTTCATCAAAGATCAGCTGTCCATGGATGGATTTACTTCTGGGTTCTCAATTCTATTCCGTTGGTCTCCCTGCCTGACATTGTACCAGGACTAGGCTGTGATAACCAATATGGATGTCTAGGAAATGTGACGTCTCCCAGTTGGTTCTGCTCCAATAACATTTTAGCTATTTGAAGTGTCTTTCGTTTCCATAAAAACTTTTCAGTTTAGAAAAAAACTTATTGAGTTTTGGATTGTTGTTGTTGATTGCTGTCGAGTCAAGCAACCCATAGTGACCCAATGAACAAAAGGCTTGAAACCTTTCTATAACTATCATAATTTATCAAAGTTCATAAAGTTTTCAGAGGCATGTGGTATAGGAAGCAGATACCACTCCTGCTTCCAAGCCCATCTTAAACTGGGAGCTCCACCAAACACTGTCCATCATGGGCAACCATTTTGGCATTTGACACCCAATGGCACAAAGTTCAGCATCACAACCACCTCAGGTTACCTCAGTACAGCATATTGACAGAAGAGTGCTGTACCACTTAGAAGAATGTTTCCCAAAATATAACAACAATGGACTTTTAAGTCCAAAGGCCCTCCCTGAGGCCTTGTTGACTCTAAACAAGAGGCTTAAATAAAAAAAAAAAAAAACCCAAAGCAAAAAACAACAACAATCCAAACCAACCCAACAACTAACATAGTATGTTGTTGTTATGTGCCATTGAGTCACCTGCAATGTATAGAGACCCTATATACAAAAGCTCTGAACCCTTCTCTGTCCTGAGCCAGTCTCACTAATTCTGACACACCAAGCCCCATCACCCCAGTTACTGTATCAATTAATCTCCTTCTGGGTCTTCCTCTCCTGTTCTGTCCCTCCACCTTTCGAGCATGATGTCCCTCTCCAAGGACCAGTCTCTCTTGGTCACATGCCCAAAGAATGGGGATTTGGATTGTTGTTGTTGTTGTTGTTATGTGCCATCAAGTCACTTGCGACTCATAGTGAC